GTGCTGGTGATGGAAGTAATGCAGGGAAAGCTTTTCTATTAAAGCAAGTAAAACCAGCCTCTCTGCACCTTCAGGCACAGGTAAAAACATCACCCCCGTGTCCCTTTAGGGCACAGGCAGGGTGCAGAGGATGGTGAGCAGGAGCAGGTAAGCTCAGAGCAAGCTGCTGCAGATTTCATGCCAAGAAGCAGTGACCAGGCCACCTCCAGTGCTCGTGGAGGGAGGCTGGTCCCAGAGAGCGGAGCAGAGGCTGTGGGGATGGGCTCCCACTCCCTGTACCCCACCAGCGACTGGTTGCACCCATCCTCTGCCCTGAAGCTTGGCTTGGGGCTGCCCCCCTGCATGATCATTTGTGGCCACAGTCCTCAATTACAGGACTTATCTCCTCTCATGCAGGCAGGAGCAGGTCGGGGCAGCTCTGTGTGCTGCTGCCCAGGAGAGGGTGTCCCCGTGTGGTGCTGAGTGAAAGGCAAAGCACCACGTAGTCTCCGGCACCGCCACACAGGCACTCGTGGCACACGGGGAAGGGGTTTATTTTCTGCCTGTGCACAGGAAGGGGTGAGATGCTGAGGGTGCGGAGTCCAGTTTGGAAGTAACTGCATGACCTTTGCTAAGGTGGGCTGGGAGAGGGGCTGCAGATGCTGATGGGAAACCAGCCTCCTCCTGCCACCCTGTGCCTTCCTGGAGGTGATGTGGCTTCATCCCCAGCCTGGGGCTGGACAGTGAGGTAAGAGCTGTGGATGCACCCGGGTTGCTCCAATTCCTCAGTGCTTGGCTAGAGTTCATTCTTGCAGGAACCTGGGAAGAGGGAAAAACAACCAGCAACGGTATCAGCCTGGGTTTGGTTTGTGTCCTTCCCCACTGCTTCCCACTGCTGAGCTGGGGTCATTCAGCCTCAGACGAGGTCTGACCTTGTGTCTTTGCTGGTGGTTTAAAGAGGAGAAAATGGGTTTTGTTCTTCACACGCATCCCTGCTGGGCAGATGATGGGAGCGTGCAGTGGTGTCTCAGCATTCACTTCTGAGGTGCTTTGCAAGGCACCAGAAATGTGGGGCTCCTGAGCTCCATGGGATGCCCTGCATGCTCCAGTGCTTGCTGGAGCACTAAAAGACAGTCCTGTGTCCTCCAGGGACTTCCAAGACCATGCGAGGGACAAAACTAAGTTTTGCTTGCTGGGACAGGCTTGGCATAAGTTAATTTCAGGACTTGGGAGTCATCCCTTGGAATAAATCCATGTTACCTTGTGATACCGCTCACATTCCTTGGGCTGTCACTAATAATATGTACAGGGCACTACTGGGAAGCTGGGTGTGCTGGAACACTCACTGGTTCTGATGATTACCCCTTCCTGAGGTGGTTTTTAAGTGTCTATTTGCTGCCACTTGGTCTTCAAACAAGTTCTTTGAAGTCTTTTCTAGCTAAGCTATTACTGCAAGCAGTGACCTGGGACGGGCTCTGCCCTGAAACAGTTTCCTCCCAAGTCTTTGTAAGCACCAGGCCTGGTTTCTGGGCATGTTTGACTGGAATTAATGTGCAAACGAGCTGCCTATCACAACAGTGGCCAAATCAAAGCTGCAGAGAGCTCTGCACCCACCTTGGGGACACGGGATGACAGCTCTCACCAGGGTCTCTTCTTCGGAGTCTGCTACTTGGGAGACCCTCCCTGGTCCGCAGACTTCAAAAAGAAATGCCTAAACCTTCCCAGGCTCATAAATCTGCCTCATTGTGCTCTTCCTGACCCTTCCTGATGGACTTTGGGGGCTGTTAATTTCCTAAGAGCTGGGGCTTCTCTTCCTAGGGCTGAGTTATAACCCATTGCGAGACGTGACCCACTGCTCAGCGTGGGCTCCCCCTGCTTCTGCCCCAGAGCCACATTCCCACGTGCCAGTCCTAGGGCTGTTGGCTGCTATGAGGGCAGTCAGATGGTGCAGCCACAGAACCAGCTTTGAAATGGAGCTAATGGGCTGTTTGTGTTCATCTTCTATTAATTACAGGCTGCTGAGCTTGAGGGAGATAGAGATGAACAGTGGCACACGTGTTGCTGATCTCGCTGGCCCACATCTGCTCCCCGTGGCCAGGGTGGGAGGAGTGAGATGCTCCAACCCTGCTTCTCTGCAGGCACTCACATGTCTCCAGCCGCTCCTCAAGGAAGGAGATCTGCTCACTCAGGGACTCGATCCTGTCCAGCTGCTGCAGGGAGTGGGACAAGCGGCTGATGGGGTCTGCGCCGACGTCCTCGGGCGCGGATGGCATGAGGTTGTGGAAGGGGGCCAGCACCAACTGGAGCTTCTGCAGGGAGAAGGGGGAGCCCTGAGCATGCCCCCGCTGCCAGGAGGACCCCCTGGTGGGGTGCAGCACACCCCAGCCGCTCGAAGGGCTTTGGTTGTGTTCAAAGGGCCGAGGGGCTGGAGCTGCTGCCCTAGACCCAGTGGGGATCCTGCGGCATCTGAGGTCAGTGGGATGTTACAAACAGAGCCGGGATGGAGGGAAGCCCCGGCTGCAGCAGCCAGGAGAGGGAGCGGGTTGAGCACAGCCTCTTGCTGCACTGGGGCAGTGAGGGCAGGACCGGGCAGGGAGGGTTTGTGCTGCGGGTTTTACCTGCTCCAGCGCTTCCACTCTGCTCCTCAGGTCTTCCATTTCTTCCTTCACTTCACTGGGGGCACCTGAAAGAGGGACCAGGAGAAGGACAGTGAGTAAAATCCCATTGCCTGAAGTGAAGTGGAAGGTGCTGGGCAGAGACACTGCTGCAGGGCTCAGGCCAAGCTCTGCTCCTTTTCACTCCCCTCGTAACGACCTCCCCCAGGACCAGCCCCTGGAGCATCAATCAGATCCAACGCCTGCTCCAAACACTGGATCTGGGCCTGTTGCTAACAGGCACAAGGCTCTCCTTGCTGCTGGGGTACCTGCAACAAAGTGCGAAGTTTTCAAGCAGTGGGGTGATGCTTGAAGGATAAGACATGTGGTGAAGCCCAGCCTTCCGTGCCTGTGTGTCAGATCGGTTAGCACCCAGCTCTGCCCTGTGCCGTGGGCACACGGAGGACAGTCCCTGCTGCGGTCCCTGGGCAGGGGTGGAGGCGGGTGGTTTGTGGGACTGGTGCAGACGTGCCCTGCTCTCCAGGCGTGCGCTGCCTGTGCTGGCCACAGCGCATTATTACTCACGGTACGAGTTTGAAGTGTCACAGCGCGTACCAAAAGTAATAATGGGCCGTCACCAGCGGCGCCGCTGCTCCTCGTGCTGCGGAGTCACCCTGCAGGAGGGACGACGACGATGATGATGATGGAGACCAGCCACATCCCATGGCTGGGCTCTGTCACACTTGCCTACAGGCAGAGGCTGGATTTGTGCGCAGAGAAGGTGTCTGGGTAGTAGAGGCCATCAAGAATAAAGCCGAGGGATTCTGGCTGCTGTCCCCTCTCCTGCTCTACCCTGTGATGCTGGGTCTTGATCCCAGCTCTCACTGGAGGCCCTGAGCAGACAGGGCTGCCCCGCAGCGGGGGGACGTTACCTGCTTGGCTGAAGTCTTCTGGCTCTGGCGCTGGCACCAGGGGCTGGCAGCTCTTGTAGTCGGCAGCGAGGCTGAAGCCGTCCTGGCAGGCGCAGTGGTAGCTCCCGGCCGTGTTGAGACAGAGCTGGCTGCACCCATGGCTCTGCCCGGCGCATTCGTCCACGTCTGAAACCAGAGGTACGGCTCAGGGTGCTGCTGGGTGCTCAGCGGGGTGCAGATGGCTCAGCCATGCACAGGGTGGGGGATGCAACGGGACCAGACTGAGCTGGTGTTGGTGCTGGGCACAGCTCTGGGTGCTCTCAGCACCCAGAACAGCCTTTCCCCTTGCCCCAGGCTGGAGTAAACCTGCACGAACCCCAGGGGGGATCTGTCCTCTCCCCTCAAAAGAGCCCAACCCAGAAGCTGTATCAGAGAGGTCCCAGCTCTGCGCTCTCATCCCGGATTTACGGCCGGGGTTTTGGCTCTCCAATGATCAGATATCTCTAAATGTACCACAGGAGGATCTAAGCATCCTACAGCAGCCAAAGCGCTGGTTTCCCAGGCCCAGTGTGAGGTAAGGAGGTGGGTACCAAGCCATGGAGGGCCTCCCACGCCTGGGAAATCTGTTTTAGGCACTGGGAAAATGCTTCCCCCCCGCGCTGGAGCCGGGGCTGTCAGCACTGAGCTCAGCCCAGCATGGTCGTGCCACCCGCCCCTGCTCTGCCTTAGGGAGGCCGGGGAGCACCGTGGCGATGGTTCGCACCGCGCTGCGATTTCCCTGTGCTCTGGCGAGGAGCATCGGGCTGCTCTTGTGCTCCTTGTGCCTGCAGCTCACCAGGTTCCTTCCCCTCCACCCCTGGGTATTTTCAGTTTAGAGATTGAGTCTCTGCAGTAAATGGGTGTCTTGGTTTGTAGTGAGGGTTTATAGCTCCTGGGGGATCCATCATTACAAATACACAATCCCAGGCCACCCCACAACGTAAGGGTTGCTCTGCAGAAAGCCTTTTGCTGGCTGCAGTCACAGCAGAGCCTCTGCTCACACTGTCCCGGCACAGAGCAGCACAGTGGATGCCAGGGGTGACATGAGGGCTGGGAGCACTGAGGCAGCCAGAGTGAGGTCAGAGCTCCCCTGGGAGCCCAGCTTCCCATCCCTTCCTGGCCAGAGCACCCGGTACCAGCACCCTGGAGCAGGACATGCAGGTGTGTGGAGGGGTAACACACTGGTTCCCTCTGTGCTCTGAGCAGCACCAGGCATGTGCTGGTCCCTGCCCCGCACCAAGGGGTGGGCCTGTGGGCAGAGAACCTCCAGCG